AGGTAATTATGGAAAACCTTCAGTAGATTAGATAGATAGATAGATAGATAGAGAGAGAGAGAGATAGAGAGAGAGAGAGAGAGAGAGAGATAGATAGATAGATATTAAAGCAGCTCTAAAAGTTACTTTTTATCTGTTTGTGTGTCCTGTTATTGACAGTTGTTTATTAGATTTTCGTTGATCTTGGTACACTAAGTGCAGCATAACTGGACACTCTGTACCCACACCCATGTGATCAGACATGCAACACACACAAACACAAGCTGATAATAAAGCACCATATGTCCAGAAACAGATTTCAGTGAGCCTGCCCTGGACTGAGCCACACATTTATGCCGATGTGAGCAGATCCACATGGCTCTCGGCATATGAGATGAAGACAAAAACATTGCATTGATTCTGCAGCCCAGTGGATCTGGGCTTGATGATAATGCACAATGGTTAACCTTTAGCAGCTATTTTTAACTAAAGGATCAGAAACGGAGTGTGTGAAGGAGTGAACACAGAGTGGAGGTTGGAGTGTGAGCAGACAGACTTACATAACACCTTTAACACATCGCCTTATGGCTTAATCAGCGTCACTCTCTCGGTCACTCACTCACTCTCTTTCTCTCTCTCTCACACACATATACTTCTTAAAGAGATTTCTGTTATTAATGACCCTCATGTCATTTCAAACTCAAATGACTTTCTATCTTCTATGGGAAAAAAGGAAAGATTTTGAGGAATGTGATTATCGCTCTTTTCCATGCAATTACAATGAATGGTGTCTGCAGCTTTCCTTCATCAGAAAGGCATGTTCACAAATTTCAAGAACTCTTTATTGATTGACTGTCATATGACTTCAGAAGACTTGGACTGCAGCATATGAATATTATTTATGATATTTTTATGGTGCTTTTGCATCTCTTTCAAAGTTGGAAAGCTCCAGTCCCTGTTTACTGTAATGGAATGAAAAAGAGTGATGAGCACATTATTCAAAATTTTACCTTTTTTGCTCCATGGTAAAAAGGATGCAAAAGCACTATAAACGTTGTGAAAGTAGTCAACATGATAGCTTTGGGTCATTATTTAATAACAATATTCATGAGAGAAGAAGCAATGTAATGATTTGTCAACAAGTCACTCTTTTCAGTCAAATCTTTTTAATGATTTGCTGATTTGATTCACAAAACCGGTGTGAACAATACATTTCCAAATTTCAACTAGCACATTATTCAAAATTTCTCCTTTTGTGCTCCATTGGAAAAAAGAAATTCAAACTGTATTGGAACAACATAAGGGTGAGTAAATTATGACTGCATTTTTAGATGAACTGTTTCTTTAAATCTGCGTGTTTCAGTCAGTTTCCATCACACTAATAGGTTTGGTTGTCATGCAGCTAGATTTGACTTTTCTCTCTCTTCTTCTTTTTCTCTGAACACCATTGTGCTCAATGGGAAGTAGATGGAGTGTATTGAATAATAAAAATATATATATTTTCCCTCCTGAAACACTTTTCCTTGTGACCAGCAACAAAAGATGTTCCCAGAAGGGCATCTGCCTTCCTGGTAATAGAACACACACACACACACACACACACACACATAACCTTGATGTGCACACTGAGTGAGGGCAGGAGAGTGTCTCCTTTCATGGTCTAAGGAGATGAGAGGAATTTCTTTGGGATTACCTACAGTACAGCAGGCTTCCCAGAATTCCACACACCAGGAAATGGATTTCTAGGAAGTGGTGATTAGAACAAAGTGGCAGAACGCCAGACAAGTAGGATCACCCATCATTAACTCCTCCCCTTCTGATGCAATGACTTTCTTTCTCTCTCTCTCTTCCCTTCTTCTCTCTGTCAAAATGCTTGCTAACTCGAGGACAGTACTAATGCACCTATCATGGTATCATTGTATTATTATCAATATCATCCTGATGACATTGTCCTAAGTCTTCCTACATGCACTGAAGAGATGATAGTTGAATACAGATAATGCTTGAATGAGAATGTCTGCACATTGCAATCATCAAGAGATTTCTCAGAAAAGCCCCGGATCATCATGCCCTAAATCACAATACATGGCATAAATTAGATTAAAATGACACCAGTGTAAAATTATTTGTTAGTTTGTAATGATTGTGCCTAAACTGGTTTTGAAGCCTGGGTGTTCAAACATTCAAATAAGCAAACAACTGTTCTTCTTTATGTAATCTTAATAAGTTGTAGGTTTATTTTATTTTATTGATAGAGACTATAATACTTATCAAATTGAAAATTTATTTAAAGCATCAATTTTGTTTATTTTATTTTATAACGTACAGTATATATTAATTCTGATTTCAAATAAATGCTGTTGATAGAACCTTCAATTCATCAAAGATTTCTGAAGGAAAATTCTGCAAAAATATTAAGCAGCAAAAACAGTTTCCAACATTGATAATAGTAAGAACTAAGAACCATTATTAATAATTGAGCAGCAATTGATAATAATTGCGTACCAAATCAGCATATTAGAATGATTTCTGAAGAATCATGTGACACTGAAGACTGGAGTAATGGCTTTGCCATCACATGAATAAACTGCATATTTTAATAGAAAACAGTTATTATAAATTGTAATAAGATTTTTAAAATAGTACTGTTTGTACTGCACTTTTAATCAAATAAAAGCAGCCTTGTTGAGCATAAGATACTTCTTTTAAAAACAAGAATCTTAAAATAAACAGAAGGGGTGAATTACTTTGAAGTGATTGAACTGATCTGAAGTGATCTGTGTAAAAAAAACATATAGCCGAACTGAGTAGAAGTGACTTGTACCTACTGGAAAATGCTTCAGGTTTCCTGGAACATTAGAAGGAGTGGATAATGTACTGATCCTTCCACAAGCAAAGAACTCAGGAATGCAACTCGTCTTGTTGCTATAGTGATAGCAGTCTCTCCATACCTTTATTTTTATCACTGTCTGATGGATTGTGTCTCAAAGCATGAGCTGTAATTGAATGAGTGTGTATCTCTGTGTATTTGTGGGCTCTATCATCAGTGCTCTAGTGACTAGTAGAATAAGTATGGTAAGTATCGAGTTCTTCGAAGCAGTTCTTTTCAAAGGTAATTTGCAGTGACTCTATTAACAGAATAATAGAGAAACTAACATCGAATGAATTATGCGCCATAGTTAGATTCAGAGCAGGCATTGCAATATGTTGTTTTTCTTTGTTCTGCCCCTCAATTTGTTTTCTTTGATCACCCTTTTAGAAGGAATATTTCTATTTTGTGAAATTCTGATTACCGTGTAGGCACTGATAAAGTAGCACACAGGAGCTTATAGGGTAGTCTCTCTGTTGAACTAGGGCGATTTTCGCACACATTTCTGTATGTGTACTCAAGGGTAACATGTTTCAGAAAGAAAATGTGTCACAATAATGGCACTACTATAAAATATTAACATTTTATGGTAAGCTTTTTGTGTATGTATTATATTTAGATATGAAGTCTATTTATATTGCTTTTGGGAGTTATTTTGGTCATAAAATGATATGCCTGAAAGGGTTAATAGCTGAATAGGCCTTTGAAATGATCATATCATTTTTTTTATTTAATTATACTTTGTTTAACAGGATACTAATGACATCAAATGATCAGATTACTAAGAGAACAATGAAACAGATACAATCAATTTTAATACAAAATAATTGTACTACAGTGCTAAATAACAGAGCAGTCCTCTGTAGGAACATTGTTTTTACAGCATATCATAATGTGTAAGTATAAAGCGCCACCTGCTGTCTAGAGAACAGCTCTACAGTATGGATATGACAGAAGATTTCTGACCAGTCAGAAGGGTGAGAGCAGGGTGCGAACTACGGGGGAGCTAGGGGGAGCTCGGCTCCCCTTAATAAGACATGGGCTCCCCTGAAAACGTGATTTGTGAAATTTTGGGGGGTCTCCAAAAATATTGACAATGTGTTATTTTGACGTGCAATTTCAGTTTTGTGTAATGTGATCATCGTGGATTATTATGTGTAAAATTGCAAAAATATAATTCATTCATGCATGACGGTGATTTAAACCTAATTCACTTGAATAAAGATAACTGTACATGCTGTTCTTGTCATGAGCATCAAGGTGTGGGGGCGCAGCGGTGCAAATTCCACTCATGTTTAGTACATGTTAACTCAAAGATTCGTAGAAAAAATTTAAACGTTGGACTCTGTGGCGGATTCTGTGTTAAGGTAAGGCATGTAATTCGCAATTATGTGTTGTGGCTGGGTTGTTATAGGTCTGCGTGACTCTCGATGTCTTAGGCCTAATTGAACGGAGGAATTATGGTATTCTTCTGTAGCCTGACGACGAGTAACTTTAACCGTTGTTCATGTGAACTCAAAGACAGCCTGATGCTTTGTTTCTAGACTATTTGTGGGTGGCTGTTTGTTGTTTCACCTATCAATTCGTGTCGATCATATAGTGCTTGCATAAAGCAAGTAGTGCATACACTTGTAGCTGTTATGTATCTTTCCAAGTCATTGTAAGCCCTTTTTTGAGGCACGCACAAGCGCACGAACTTCCCCCAAAGTCCACGGTATAGTTCCAACACTGGGTGAGAGATAAGAGTAATGTTTCTCTGACTTATATTTGTAAACAGAACTTTACAGCGCAATTTTACTTGTGTTTGTTTGTATATATCAGTGGCTGTTGCAGTGGCCATTGAGCAGGAAAAACAGATTGGATATTATGTTAAATTCCAAATAATAATAACAAAATGCAAAAGATAAGAACATTTATAAGAATATTAAAGAAAATACTATCAAAGCAAATCACAAATTTTTCTGGTCTTTCTCCACTTAGGAAGATATAAAAATACCCAACGTTGATCTGAAATGACAATGAAAGAAATGTCCTACTGATTAAACATCTCATAAAGATGACCAAGTTTATGATTAAGATTATGATTTTTTTTGTGTTTGCGTGTTAAGATTAAACTTAATAGAGTAGCATTTACGGCAATTATCAAATCAATCTATGAGATTCTGCTTCCCATAATCTATGCAAGAAAATATCAAAAACACACTCACAGTGAGTGAGTCCACTGCTGGGACGGCTCCTGATTCTCCTTTAATCTTACAGATGACGGCATTGGACTCAATCTTCTCCAAAAGACACGGATACTCCTGATCTCCCTGTAGACCCGTCACAGTCACCTCACTCATACTCAAATTCAACATATCTGCCTTTTTCTGAGAAAGAGAGAGTGTGGGATGATTTGGATAATAATATATTTACAGAGAAGTTTTTAATACCCACGCATGCCACAACATGCAGACTGTGCACTGATGTTAAACTCACCTTAATGTTCACCTGTAGATCATTGGCCACCTGTACGGTGGTGAATCCAGTGAATCCTGGATCAGGCTTGAAGGACAAATTTTCACAGTCCACAGTGGAGTTCCCAGCATTCAACAACAAGCTAAACTGATCACTGCCATCATAGTGGGGGGACTCAAACCACACATCCCGAGAAAGAGAGACACTGAAAACATAACTAATACATGTGACATGTACAGAGTGAAGCTACATGTAATCTGTGAATAGAATAAATAATATTTTGTTTGAATTAATAAGTATCCACAGTCAATGATGTACATTTAACAATTATACAGCAAAGTAATGACAATCTGCCAAACTGGAACTCAAGTGAATATGGGTTATTTGATTGTTGATATCCATCTGTCAGATACAGTGCTGTAAGCTGCTAGACTGGATCCTCATTTTGAGCTTAATGCTGTAGTAATAAGCACACATCTTACCCCTGAGCTTGTGTTGTTGTGTTTTCAGATCATAGTGTTTATAACTGGAATGGACAGTAACTGATTCCACAAATTCCAGATTGCTCCCCTGAACATGAATCTTCTTTCCACCACTGAAGAGATATTTAAGACAATTTAATCAAAAAGCACACTTCAGAATCAGGGAGGGGCCAAATCAGTGATGGTATAAAATAATATATGTAAATAAATAATAGTCCTATATTATTATATACATTACATTATTATATATAATAATAATTAGATAATATGTAATAAGTAATAAATTAAATAATATAGAATACTTGTGGCAATTTTGCTTTTCCCAATAAAGGTATGAGACAAAAGTATTTTGAATATTTATTTTCTTGCAAGAAAAGTTCAACAGTCATACAGTCATGCAAGTTGACTGCAGAGTGCGACCCAGAGGAAACACCCCAACTCAACATTTATATCATTATCAAATGTGGATGCTTTGATCTCATCCAATCCTTATGCATATTCAACATATATGTCCATTTAAGGTGCCTAACGATGTCCTCCAGATGCGTTTCTAAGAATTGAATGCAAATCATTTTGTAAGTAGCCAGGATGTCTAAGAAACTAAAATAACATTTATCTCACACACTTGTCTTGCACACATACACAAATAGATGTCTTGTTATCTCTCGGCTCATCAAAAACTCAAGCAAACTGAAGCACTCAGAGACAGTCTAAAGAACTCTCTTTAGTACAGTGAAGCAAATAATATTAATATTTCAGATAGAAATAAATTTCCTCCACAATACTTAAATTAAACATTTTGGAGATAGGTTGGTAAAGAAAAAGGTTACTTAATAATCATACTACAAATGTTATAATGAAAATCTATATATATATCTGAATAACAAAAATAATCACGAAAAAAAAAAACTGTCAATGAAAAGTCCAAACAATGATAGAAAAGCACATGTGTGTGGAAGTTGATCAGACAGCGGTCTGAAATAGACGGACCTGCTCCAGCTGACTGTGGGCTGTATTCCAGTGCAGCTGGGCTGAGAATAAGTGTAATGTAGGATACACATTGTCTCACCTGTACGTGTAACTGTGGTCCACGGCCATGTGCCCATTCACAACATTTGGAGGAAGAGGACCAGTGACACCCAGATGAGACACACTGCACACACCTGCATTTATTTAATGTTACATTGTGACATCAACACACACCAGAAATGTGTTAAACCACTTCATGGCATTTTTTTAATTAATAATTTCTTTTAAAACGCTTTTAGGCTCTGCATTATACTGTGTATAAGAAGCACTTGGTGAATTATCTTTGATATTCAGGCAGTCTTTCAGCATCAGCATCTCTGTGATCTTCTGATCCCCAACAGCCACTTCCGCTGAGACGTTTAAACCTGAATGGATTATCAAAAAGTAACCAGAATAAATTTTTTTTTTTAAAGTTTATTACATGGCTTTCTGGATACTGGTTAGTCATTACTACAAAATAAACCCAGACAGGTTGATCGGGACTTGATGCTACATTTATTCATTTATCAGACATTTTTAGCAGATACTTGAAAAAAAAAAGTTTCTCAGTTTATGAGAAACTTTATAATAAATGATATTGGTTTAAGACATGTCATGAGTTTTACTACCATGGTTATAGTTGCTAAGAGAGTGAAAGGAAATAACAAGTTTATTGTGTAGAGATATGCTCTGTGGTCACAGAATTTATAAATAATTTCCTTCCTACAACAAGTGCTGTGGTGTCAGAGGCATGTAAGACTTTGCTCTTTTCCACTGAAATGCTGCTGTTGCTTGTCAGCTGCATGCATTTAAAGACTAAAGCTGCTTCTGATGCAACAGTAAGAAATTTCTCAATAATATTGATCGCCATCAATGCACACATACTTCTGTACATTTGTAAATAATATATTTTTTTAGACAAGGTAATTAAAGTGGCCAGAATGCAATTATCTTATCAGTTTTAAGGACAATAAATGCACTGTTTTAACTCAGTGAATTTATGCTGTGATGTGATATCATTTGGCCCTTGAATCATGTGCTGGGAATGTAGGAGGACATTTTGAATAGACTAGAAACAGGATGAAGAAATCAAAACGATCAATGTTTTTGGCAGAACATGATAGAAAACTGGAACAAAATCCCATTCAGAGGGGTGCCCTATGCAGACTGCATGATGTACAGCCTTTTTTAACACACTGCAGTTAAAATTATACTCAAGAACTTGTGCTGTAGTATTTACACTTCAAAATAAGTGTACTTTAAAGCAAGACAAAATATTATTAAAATAATTTAAAATGCACTTTAAAGTAAAACTTAATGTGACCTTATACACTTTTAAAGGTGTATTTAAAGCAACTGTTTTTTTTGTTTGTTTTTTTACCTTGAAATATCTGTTTCAAAATCATTCTGCTGGTACACAGTGGTATATTTATTAACTGTAGGATGTTCCAAAAAAAAAAAACCATACAGTTGCTTTAAGTGTGTTATGTGTATAGTCATGATACACCTTTAATACACCAATCCACTGCACTGACAGAGAACCAACCTCCGGTATATAGTAGCTAGTCAGAAAAACCAGAAAACCTACAGTAGCAGTTTGGGAAAACTGCAGGCGGATCAGACCCGTCACACAGGTTCATGGCTCCTGTGGGGAAGGTGCACGAGAAGGCAGGATTTCCTGTGCTCTCCAGACTCAAGGAAAGATATAGAGTAATCTGTGTAGGAGTGGGCATTGATTGGTCAGTAGAAATTGCTAATATGTTTTCAATGCAATGAAAAATGGTTTTATTTGAAGCTAATATTATAATACCTTGCTGGAAGATTTCTCTGCCCAAACCTGAAAAGAAACTAGCTGTTTCTGAAGGGAGTCTTTTGGGGTGGACACCCATGAAGATTTCAAACATTCCTGGGTGGAGCACCTAGACAAGCAGAAATATATAATTTAGAGTTGTTATGCCAGGTTGGATATTGATTTTTTTTTTACTAGCTAGCATATTAAATTCTTTTTTTACTTGCAACAGATATCAATCTGACCTCTGTATGTTCACACACCAGCCGCAGAGTGGATCCAGAGCAGCTCTGCAGTCTATCAGAGTGCCGTATTTAACACACGAAACCACAGACACTTCTTAACTGCATCAAAAACATGTGCAGAAAGAAAAAAAATACACTACTGCAGTCACATTACTTTTCAAAATAAGAAAAAATAAATAATCTTTTCTCTAAACTCTACACATAAAACCACAAAATGCACACATGCAAAATATTACGCATCTCTTGCAAAAGCAAATACTTTTTTCAAAACTATTTTAAATCTTATAAAATGGTGTTTTTGCACAGTAACTCTACACACAAACATCAAATGATTAGCTATATACACGACAAACTACAGACAGATATGATACATGTAAATCACTACTATCTTGTGTCTTTTGCTTGTTCAGTGTGCAGTGGAGCACAGGAGTTTGTCAATTTGAATTAGTCTCTATTGTATAAATAATTACACTCTCAGAAAAGAAGGTACAAAAGCTGTCACTTGTCAGTAGGTACACCTTTGTACCTAAAAGGTATAAAAATCTACCTTTTGAAAAGGTAGACACAATGACAACTTTTGTACCTTTTTTTCTGAGAGTGTAGAAATAAAGGTGACTTAACTTGTATGAATATTCAGTATTTATTTACAAAGAGCTGTAAACAAATGCAAGGGTGAAATATTTTTTTTTGAGGACTTGATCTGAAGATTCAGTATATGAATGAATAGTTTCACTGAGTGTGCCTCAAGTACAACTTTTGGTGAGAAAGGGATTTAATTTTCAATTTAATTTTTAATTTCAATGTTAACACTTTTTATTAACTGTACAGTTTTAAACCTCACCTCTTTCCTCAGAGCTATGTAGATATGTTTGAAATCTACTGGATCAAAGTGCATTCTGGGAAGCACTGCTCGTTCACCATCAGATTTCAGCAGCACTGTTGGACATCCTGGTGTGAATTTCTCATCCAACACAAACTAAAAATATAAACAGCATCATTATCCGAACTTCATCCAAATCATTATATGACTGTGGTGCTTTATTCATGCAATATATTAATTTTGATGTTCATTGCTGGGATATCAAGTACCTATTATTCACAGATTCCACAAAAATGGAAATGCACAACAAATAAGTCAGAGAACAGTGTTTAACAGTACTTCATGATGCATAAGGCTTATAATGTTATAATGTCAAGAACAGTTAAAGGCAAAAAAATCAAACAATGTTGACAAAGATGCAAAAAAGTTACGCTTCAATATTCATACTTAAATGAATGGGTAACACTTTATAATAAGGTTAATTAGTTAACAGTGGTAAACTCTATTAGTTAAACTAAGCATGAACAATACTTCTACAGGTTTTATTAATCTTAGTTAATGTTAATTTCAACATTTACCACTACATTATTAAAATCAAAAGTTGTATTTGTTAACATTAGTTAATGTACTGTGAACTAACATGAACAAACAATGAATAACTGTTTTAATTTACTTATTAATTTATTTATAATAATTTCCACGTAGATACCTAATTTAATTATGCATATTGTTCTGTCTCAAATTTTGTTTATATCGATTTTATAGCAACTAAATAAATATAAACATGGTTTATACATGGTTAAACATGGGTAGTTGTGAAATTCAAAGCACTATTTATCCTATAATAAACTTGTTTGGTTTATGACGTAACATGACATTCTCTTAAAAAGAAACCACTTGTTGTGTTTGCAGTAGTTATATAATTTTGATGTTATTATGACAACTGTGACACCTAGGGTCAATTTTCATCATCATGCTTAAGGCCCCACAAACCCAAGGTACAATGCAACCTACTTAGATGCTATCCTCTCTATTAGGAAAACACTAAGAAACTACTGAAAAATAAAACAAAGCAGACCTTGATGAGTTGGCTATCACTGGTTCCCATGAACAGCACAATCCAGGATCCACTTCTAACTGCTGCCACTGCTGACATTGAGCTGTGCTTGAACACCACAGAGAGCGGCTGAAGTTCAGTATCACTCTGAAACACAGAGAAGAAACTGAAATTGTATATGACTTTAGTGAACAGAACAGTACAATTACGTTTATCATGCAACATTCTATTACAATTGTTATTCAAGTCTCAATCAGGTGAAATGCTGTTCTCCTTTAAAAATGTGTATGAATGCAATTTCCAACCTCAGAACCACATGAGTTTTCACCAGAAGCAGTTTATCATGCAACATTCTATTACAATTGTTATTCAAGTCTCAATAAGGTGAAATGCTGTTCTCCTTTAAAAATGTGTATGAATGCAATTTCCAACCTCAGAACCACATGGGTTTTCACCAGAAGCGCAGAAGCCCTTCACTCGGCCTTGAATGCTCCTGATGTCGTACAGAGCCAGCGCGCTGTTCTCCGGATCCTGCTGATTCTGCGCACTGAACACACCTGCCCAAATAACGCTGTTCACTGAGGGAATAACAGTGCAGGCGACGAGCACTGGACGAGCTTTATCACTGCAGCATCGTATCGTTGCAGCCTGTAGGGATTTGATGATTTCTCTCTTTTTTCCTTTAGAGCTGTTCATCCACAGGACGAGCACTTTCCTCTCTGAGCCAGTCTTTGCGTTGAGAAATAAGTAGGATTCTGAGGGCGAAACTCTCTTGAATCCGCCAACAAACTCCACATCTCTCACAGTGCTCTGAATGCTTGCATCTGATCCTTCCGCAAATATAGAGAAAATCCCACCTGCTTTAGACTGTAAAGTGTTCCACAAGCTAACAACAAAATACCTGGTATCTTGAGGTTTTACATCGTCGTCTTTTTTTACATTTACATTTAGTCATTTAGAAGCGCTGTGAGCCAAAGCAATTTACAAAAGAGGACAATAAAAGCAGTCAAAACTAACAAAAGAGCAACAATATATAAGTGCAAATGACAAGTCTCGGTTAGCCTAATGCAGTACACACACACACACACACACACACACACACATATATATATATATAACACACACAAAGAAAAACAAGTAGATAGAATATAAATAATAGAAAGCTTGTGTTTTGTTTTTTGTTTAAATAAAAAAAAGATAAATAGATAAAGTAGAATTAAAATAGAATAGAAAGTGCTAGAGTTAGAGAGTCAAATAAAGATGGAACAGATGTGTATTTAGCCGATTCTTGAAGATGGCTAAGGACTCAGCTGCTCGGATTGAGTTGGGCAGGTCATTCCACCACAGTTCATGTAAAAGTCTGTGGAAGGGATTTTGTGCCTCTTTGGGATGGCACAATAATGCGTTGTTCACTTGCAGAATGCAAGTTTCTAGAGG